AGTAGAACCGTGCCGGGCACGATGAGGTCGTTCTCACCCAGGTTGGGGAATCGAACCAACAGCATTTGGTTCTGGTCTATCTTGCTGGGATTGTTGGTGATGGTCACCGATTGGCGCACGCCTCTGACGCCTAGAGGCTCCCTTGATCTCCGGAAAGGGTCTAGCTTCCTACCGTATGACTTTGTTATATATACAAAATATATAAATTTAATATAATTAATAGAATGGCCGAAGGTGGTTACAATGACATCCAGATGGATGACTTGTGGGATGATAGTGCCCACTCGGTCGGAGAGGAGGAAACCTCGTTCTCGCAAAGCAACCGACTCCTGAAGCAGACCATCGACGAATACTTCGACGCGTTGAGGTGTAGGCACCACATCGAGCCGTTGGGACGAGACTATTCCAGGTTCGCCCTCGACGAGAACAGCACGCTGCGATTGAAGGCTAACCCAGAGATCAATATCATGAACGTGCGCACGAGAGAACCGCTTGCCTTATCGACACTCATCAGTCGCCATGGTGAGCAACTGATCCGCGGTGAACTAAACCTCATAGATTACAGTGGCGCAGAGCCCAAAGAACTTCCCCCGAAGGTTGTCCAAGATCTGCAAGCTACCAGGGCCGAACTCAACGATGAGCCCCAATGTGCCATCGAAGAACTGTTGGCCACGTACCTTAACAAACCCTTACCCGGGCTCAAATTTATCGTTCGGGAACTGCGAGGGCTGGACAAGGCTATGCAAACCATTTGTGGGTCACTCGTGGACAACACGGCCAAACCGGATGCGGGCCGAACCCTGGGGTCCGGGGATGGTATGACTATGCCCGTTTCACCGGCCGTGGGGGGTGGGACGTCACTCACGTTGATACCCGGGTTGATACCCAGCTTCTGGTGGGCCGTGGCTATGACTATTTCGTTGTTGTAGCCCACCACTTTATTGATTCTCAGTTGCATGTCACTCGGGGCCATGTACAGTCCCACGTTGAACACGTAGTCGACTTTCGACCGGGCGTATTCCAACACGTCTTGGTAGCGTCAGATGGCACTCGGCAGATAGCATCCTCGACATTGACCACGAACTGTTTCTGCGCGTCGTAAGCAGTCGAGTCTTTCAAGTGTTCGGTGCCGGCATGAGTGAACCCTCTCGACGTGTCCAGCATGAACTTTTTCCAGTCATCCGCGGGCCCCTGCTCGAACCTCCAGACTCGGTAATCCTTGGTCGGTGGGGTAGCCTAGTGGTTAAAGCATTGGCTCGTCACGCCGAGGACCCGGGTTCGAATCCCCACATGGGTACAATGTGTGAAGCCCATTTCTGGTGTCCCCCGCCGTGATGTTGCTGGAATATTGCTAAAAGCGGTGTAAAACCAAAACTCAGTCAGTCAGTCAGTCAGGTAATCCTTGGTGTCGTCGAAAGCCATGTAACGGTCATTCCACTCGTTCGTCGTGATGTGATGATACGACTTGTACCCCCATTCTTTCATCTTTTCGCTGACTTCCACGAGGGGCATGTTGTGAACGATGGGGATACCCAACCCGTAGTTCGGCCACGGCAAACCCCAATCCGTCTTTGGGTCTAGTTCGAATTCGTTGCAAACACGTTCGTAGGCCCGTCTGTCGTACGGGTTGTTTACCACGTCCCGTGCCTTGTGCTGTTGGAGCGGAGCGCTGATCTCTTTGAGGATATGCCTGACCTGGTAGTACACGTGGAACGTGAACACAGACCTACTCAGCGGGCCCCGCCGAGTGTCGGTCAACGTCAAGCCGCACCACATTGTAGCGCACCACACGGCGAAGTTGAGTTGGTTCTGCCAGAACTGCATCGGGTTGTTGAACCAAGCGTGGACTGCCTTGACATTTGTCACCGAAAGCCTATACCGGTCGAACACATCGATGAACTGGGCTCCGAAGTACAACCCAGCCACATCGACAACGATCTTCATGTTCGTGAAGTCTATGGCCATCTTAGGGTAAAACACTCCCGGTGTGTACATTTTGAAAGTATTATATAGTGGTATATATACTCTAATATGTACGTGACACTTCCAGGAATAACGTGCGGTGAGTCCGTTCAACTGATGCACGTGTTCGATAACATGTCGGGTCACCTCGAAGCCGCACTCTGCGATATCACCTACCTGCCGCGGTGGACCAACATCAATGACAGCAACAACAAGCTGTTCGTCAGTGGCGTCCGCAACCACATAACCGATGGCTACTACAGCATGTGCTCGCTAAGCGATGAAGTCTTCAAGCCCGTGGGAGCCGAACTCAAGATGAACGACTCAGACGGCACGGTGGTGTTAACCAACAATGGAATGAACCCCTTGAGGTTCGGCAAACCATTGGCGAGGACCCTCGGGCTGCCGCCGGACGAGATAAAACCCACAACCACCGTCATGGGTATGAAGTTACCCGACCTAGTCCTGTACCATGAGCTGTGCATTCATCTCGATCAGCTGGGCACGACGGACAACTTTCGGGTCGAACGCCCTTCAATGCTGCTGAGAGCCATACCGGGTGAAGACGGAGAAGTACAACGACGGCAGAACCGAGTCGTTTTCATCGCAGCAGTACAAGAGGTTATTTCGGGGCACCATCGCAGAGTTGGTTATATCAGTGTTAGATTTAAAGCATAATCCTGTGAATATAAGATACTTCAGCATAACGCTGCACATAAGATGACTAGCGCACAAGGACCCGGAATGAGGTTGAAAAAAAGCGTCAATGTAGGGATCTCCGCCCTCGGGGACACACGTGGGTTCAACGACCCCAGAGTAGAGGGTAGGCTGTATGCCTTACAGCTTAAAAACAGCTTTACGAACGTGTTGAAGTCCCCTCAAGCGGTAGTACCCTAGGTGATATAGTTGATACCTCAGGAGTGGCCCTCAACACTCGGTTCGACCTAGTCCGCATCAGTGATAATGGATGGTCGGTATACCCATTGTTCGCGGCAAACTGTTCGACCTAGAAGATGTCGAGAGCACGACCGTTGCCCAAAACAAGCAGTATGCCCTCGTCTTCACCGACGATGCCAAGTGGGTGTTGTTACCTTCTCAAGTCGACTGGTTTCTCAACATCACGCTCAGCTCCCCCTACGTGTTCACGGAGAACAAAGACAACGACCTAAACAAAGTCGTGAATAACGGAACCCTGCTCGTGGCTTACGTCCCAACGCAAAGGCTTAGTGTAGTCATCAGCCCAGTATGGCAGCCCACGAAGCACGACGAGATCAGGGTCCTGGCCGAAGCAAAGCTGAACACGGTAAGTGACCACATCTCCACCGCACTCACTGACAGTAAAATCTCCGAGGAGGAGTTTCGTTTGGTCCTCTCTGAACTCTCCAAGTACCACGAGATGAAGCAAGAGATCCGGTCCAAGTCTCGTAAGAGCACTGTCATCAGCGAAGACGAGAAAAAAAAGTACATAGAACAAGGGTAAAACAAGCCCGGCAAGCCTTCGTTACGAAGACCAACTAGATCATAGGGGATTCATCGAGGTCAACATGATGTAGGTTGGCCAGGAGGTGTTGGTTCGCGGTCATAGTGACCAGGAAGTTGGTTGGGGGATTCAAAAGTGGTATATACACTGGGGGAAGAGATCGGGGACTGATAAAGGCTTTATCTATGAAATAAAGCTTTACAGAGGCCTTTGGCAAAACTGATCTCGTACCCCCAGTGTATATACTACTTACGTTATGTTCCTTCGTGTGTCTTGAACAGATATTCTAACACTGATTGTACGTTATGTTCCTTCGTTGTTCTAACACTGATTGTACGTTATGTTCCTTCGTGTGTCTTCAACAGATGGTCTAACACTGATTGTACGTTATGTTCCTTCGTGTGTCTTCAACAGATGTTCTAACAATGATTGTACGTTAATGTTAGTGAGCAGACTTGTGTCAAGACTAAAATACAATACACTGTAATCTATACTATACACTATAAATCACGAAATGTTTGAAAGTATGATATTTTCGCGAAAATTGCGAATGATTAGCGGCAACCTTTAACATGTGATTGGATTTTCTTTAGGTAGCTCGCCCACCATGGTGGGCTAGCTGGCTTAGGCGCCAGGCTAGTGATCCAGCAAGCTTGAGGTGCCGGGATCGAGCCCACCTGTGACCGGGTGTAAAAACTTTGGAGTCAACTTTGTGTGTAGACTCTTTCAGTGTTGTCACAACCCCTAGTGTACAGTACACAAACCTGTGCACTTTAAAGAACCCACGAATTCGCTGGTAAATGACCAGATGGTGGCAACATGAATATGTGCAAACACCTAGTTGCGGGTACATCAACTTGCAGTAAACGCGGACAAAGTACTGTGACAATGCGTCCCAGTCCACCCAGCAGTGAATGGGTTCCTCGTAAGGATGAGAAAGCCACACTCACTCGGTGTGCCTAGTGTCTGCAAGAGTTGTATGATCCCCAGGGAGTTGAGATTCATAATACGACGTGCCATTGCAATTGACATCCAGGGAAAAACAAAGCGCCTTTGAGCAGCTGAGCTGGATATCGGCGCTATACAAATTATTAGCATAATAATTTCAGTTGTGATATATTTTTCAGAATTTTCAAGTTACAAAAATACCATGACACAAAAACGTCTGTTGGTCGCCACTCGCAAAAATATCGTCAGGCAAAACTTTCATGATTTACAGTAACCATTATTAAAGGTGTCCTCCTCTCTAACATGGGAAGTTGTATTTCAAGGCTGAAAGTTTCTAGATATGTTTGGGACTTGTGGTTATTGTCACACTTTGGGGGGTAAAGCAGCGAGTTGTTTAACTATTCAGGTGCATGGGATTTGGAGCCTTTGCACCAGCACCATGCGTCTGTCTGATAATGACTTTCTATCTATCTCGGGTACAGAGGGTGGGTAAATTACAATTATATGTGCATCTCTCAGTAAATGTTCCAGTATGAAACCGTATTTTGTCATTTACGTAATAATCTTTTATCGAACTCTGTTAGGGACATTTGTGGACTTGTTGTTTCAGATGTTCGTTTCAAAATCGACAAGTTTATATGCAACACGGATGTATGGATCTGTTCTGCTGTACCTGGTGGTGGTGGTGTCCTATAGTATGTTACTTAAACGTTTTCATTGGAATGCCCTTCTATCAATGTAGTTATATGTCAAATTTATTTCACATTGCCTGTTTAAATACTGTCCAAATATGTCCACGTAGAACAAGAATGGTGCTTGTTAAACAATGTCTAACTATACTAGCCACATAAAGAAATTGTGCATTGTCAAAATATTATCCCAGTTGATAAGTATGATAACAATGTCAAAGGTACATATAAACTTTAATGGAGGGATCATGAGACCATAACAAGTCGGGAGAATTTCAATTGAAAAGTCAATCACAATGACGTCACGAGTCCACAAGCGGGACAGCGGTTAAACGACCATGTCACAAGCCCATTGGCATTGGGAACAGCAGTGCATCGACGATGCATAGAGCCTATCAAACGTACAAGGAAGGCTTGTGGGATGTCACGCCAGATTCTCTCAAGTTCTGTTGCAAGGTCAAGGACGTTATCTGGCGGATGAGGAAGATGGCGTAGACATCGATCCATCTCGTCCCAAACATGCTCTATCGGGGAGAGATCCGGTGAATTTGCAGGCCAAGGCAGTAAGTCAACGTTGTGGTGTTGCAAGAAATCCATAGCAGCCCTTGCCGTATGAGGGCACAGGCATTGTCCTGTTGGAATGTTAACCCAGGGCCATGACTTTGCAGAAAAGGAATTGCCACAGGTCGAAGAAGTCCTGGGATGGTTCGGGCAGTCATCACTGCAGTCTGAAACCTCTGGCGAAGATGGGTCACCCTTATCCATATGTCAGGTCTTGGCGTTGTTACACGTGGACGTCCAGAACGTGGCCGATCGATGACGTCATTTGTGTTCTGGTAGTGTCTCACCAGTGCAGAAATGGTGTTCCGGTGGCAGTGGAAATGTGCAGCCACTTGTCGTTGAGACATTCCCCCACGGACCATCCCAATGGCCTCATGACGTTGTGCAGACGTGAGCCTTGGCATGCTATGCGTTTCAATAGCCGTTTAATTTTTTGAACGTTCGCAAGGGCAGGGGTTGAGCTTTCCAAAGTGACAATATTGTGTGGCATTCATTTGCTCTGTTTCTCTTTCCCGGAATGCACGTGCAATAACGTATTGCACGTCTCAAGGACGAACCCACTGACGTCACGGGACGTGGCACGTGCATGCATGTTGGATACATGTCACTAATCTCTGAGTTTAAATCCTTATGTGTTTACACAGGTTTGATAAATTTAGATTTTAATTTTGTGTATGCACAGTTTCTTTATGTGCCTAGTATATGTCCACACAAAACAGGAACATTACTATTCATACACTGTCTAACAGTCTCCACAAAATAGGGACAATATAAGTTGTTCACTGGTCTCGAGGGGGACATGGGCTGATGTACCCTCGATGTTTGTTTATGTTCCCGAAGGGCTCAGGGAACATAAAGAAACATCGAGGATACATCAACCCATGGGCTCCGAGGGACCAGTGAACAACGTATTTATCTTACCGAACTGTTTGAAGTTTGAATAACAAATTTAGAGTTATCTCCATTCATTCGATTTGCATTCGCAAAACATCGGTAATTTCCGTACATCATACGTGATTCAATGTTATTCGAAATAAAGAACTACTACTACGAAGTACCAACTGAGTTCGGCATTCCCAGCGAGGTACATAGAAAATGTTACTCGCTTGTAAGCGGGGTACATTGAAAATAATAGATGAGCGCTCAGACAATCAGAAACGAACATTTATGTGTGAGGCAAGATAATGTCCATTGACTGACAATCTCTGTACTGACAGACAGGTCAGAGTATCGGAACATGCCTACACGGAAAAGGCACACTGCTATTTACATAGAATCTGACAAGGTCTGTACAAAAATAGGAACTGAAACAGAATTACTTTCCCAATGTCAGACCACTGACCACAGAATCACTGCTACATCGAAGTAATTGGAGTACAATCCCCAATAGCTGAAGGGATGGTGTAAATCCAGCTAGGGTCCACACAGGAATCAAATGTACTGTCTACATGGTCCCTAGTATGGTAATCTACCTTCTGTCGCGAGCGATTTATAGCTCGTTTTAACAGCGTATTATTCTCTTTAACAATATCGTTCATGATAACATACTGGTTTAAGCTGATATCTCTGATATACACTGGCCCAAAAAAGAAACGCATAGCTGAATTCTGATCTTCAAAGTATATTGTTTCAAAAAATATGGCATAGAATGACTGTCAATGTTAATATTAAGTGTGAATATAGCCCATACAATTATCCAACACACGCAAAAAACAACCTTTGGTGATTTTACAGCACCTTGAAAAAATCCCCGTATAATCTGCATGTAGAAAAATCTGAAAGCATGATGCACGTGCAAATACGGGATCTGAATCTTGATACTGATGGGTATAAAAAAGCCAGCAGTCCTGTTGCGATTCATTCTCCGAAATTCTGTATATGCGACCCTCAAGATGCCACGACTAAACGAAGAAAGCAGAAACAGAGCCATTGGACACTTGGAAGCTGGAGAAAGCCAGTCATCAGTTGCCAGACATCTAAACGTGAGGCAGAGTACAATTTCCCGTCTCTGGCAGCGCTACACGCAGCACAACTCGACCAGAGATCGTCCTAGGAGTGGGAGACCAAGGGTGACAACTCCAGCGCAAGACCGCTTCATCCGGGTGTTTCATCTGCGAAATCGGACCGTCACTGCAGCGTACGCCGCCGACAATGTTCCTGGGCTGCGTCGAGTCTCTGCACAAACCATCAGGAATCGCCTAAGAGAGCATGGAATCCGACCGATGCGACCACATACAGGACCTGTTCTGCGACACCACCATCGTCTTGCACGTCTTCAATGGAGCAGGAACGTTCGGCCATGGACCCTCTTGAACTGGAGGAGGATCTGGTTCAGCGACGAGTCGCGGTTTATGTTGTATCAACATGATGGCAGGATGCGGATTTACAGACGTCGAAATGATCGATATGCTCGACAGTGTGTTCGTGAGGTCGACAGACACGGCGGCGAAGGTGTAATGATGTGGGCGGGCATATCTGTGAATGACAGAACAGACCTGGTGCATGTCCAAGGGAATTTGAATGCTGTGCGCTATCGTGATGAAATCCTGGTACGTCATGTTATTCCCGTAATTGACGCTAGAAGAGAAATTTTCCAGCATGACAACGCAAGACCGCATACAGCACGCATTACAACAGATTTCCTTGCCATCAACAACATTACAGTTCTTCCATGCCCTTTAAAATCTCCGGATCTTAACCCAATTGAACATTTGTGGGACCAATTGGATCAACGTGTACGACGCCGACAGCCGCAACCACAGACACGTCAACAGTTTGTTGATGCGTTGCAGGATGAGTGGAGAAGAATCCCACAACGGCGGATCCGACGTCTTATACAGTCTATGCCCAGGCGATGCAGAGCAGTGATCGTGGTGGTCACACCAGATACTGACTTTGTGACCGTGCCATCAAAAACAGAGACTCTCAATACCACTGTGAATGACTGTATGTTTTTGGATACACATGTCCCAATACCTGTGTGAATTTTTATTGCTCTATTATCATTACTTTTTGTGTAATTTAAGTTATTAAAGCATCACTGATAACACTGGATTTTCACCTATGCGTTTCTTTTTTGGGCCAGTGTAGATTAATGTTTATCGTCAACAGGTTTTTGATTTCTAATTATATTGTTCTTTAATATGATAATTAATTGTTCAGAATAACTTCTCAAGTGTCAAAACATATGTTCACTGTATATAATCTCTCCCCCAATGCCTGACATGTCTACTAGTAGTACTACATCGTTTTGTTTCAGATTCTGGAGAATTGCTGTGTCCCGAGATCGCAGAACTTGGCTCCACCGTCAATCTCAAGTGTATAAAAGGAATCGCCACACGAGCCCATTCCTACTCAACTCCTATTGGAACTGCCGCTGCAACTTGTGATTTGTCAAACAGATACTGCATAAATCTTGGTGACTTTACAGCATCGGTCCTGAACGAGTCCTCTAGTTTCCTCACTATACCGCACCTACTGGAGACACACGCTGGTGACTGGGCATGTGTTGTAGATGCAGATGACCCAAACCCCGATACGTGTAATGTAACTGTGCAAAGTAAGTACACTATGTTCTTAAACGGTTAGGGATTTAGGATAGCCTGGAGGTTAAAGCATTCGCTCATCACGCTAGAGACAAGGAGTCGACTCCTCACATGGGTACAATGAGAGAAGCCCCTTTATGTTGTCCCCCGCCGTGATATTGCTGGAATATTGTTACAAGCGGCGTAAAGCTATACTCACTCATTGTAGGATATTTACGAATAATTATCAAAGTCAATATAGAGCGTCTCTGTCTTCACTTTAAGTCTCATTAACTGAGTGCTGCCAAGGTTGATGTGTTAATGATTACCTGTGCCACGTTATCGTATTGAAATTGTTGTGTACTTCTTGTTTGCATAATATAACGATATACATAGCACCAAATTGTAAAATTATAAAGTAATAAAGTCCTAATGAAATGTAGATTCTTCCCAAACCCTTGGTTGGGGCGATTTATATAAAATATTTGAAATGAAATAATTTTTTGGGAAGTACAAAGCAATTATTCCCTGGGCAGTAAAACATATCTAACAAAGTTAACATGAACATACACAACAGCTGACAAAGCGATGACATTTACCTTATTCCCAATTCCTTACTCAGTTTGGAGTGTCATACTCGTGATATCATACCCGTGAAGATCCGGGTCATAATTGAGCTTCAGTAACCCATGCTTGTCGTTAGAGGCAACTAACAGGATCCGGTGGTCAGACTCACTGACTTGGTTGACACATGCCATCGTATCCCAAATCCTAGGATCTATGTTCAAGATGTTGATCACTGGATTGCCTGGGCCCAGTTTCACAAAGCTCTTGTAAGCCTAAGCCATACTGTAAGATAGGAAGTTCGAATGCTTCGAGGAAAGTTAAGAGATCTTAGGCTTACAAGAGCTTTGTGAAACGGGACCCTGGTCCAGATTCGATTATACACAGAGAGATTCCTTATAGCTAGAATATTGCTGAGTGCGGAGTTAAACAACAAACAAACGAACAAGCTTCAATGACATCAACGTGTATCCATTGTTTCAGAGAGTCCATCATGTCGAATAACAAGCCCACAGAACACCAGAGCACTCATTGTTGGTGAAGAACTTTCACTGACAGTCTACGTGAGAAGCTTCTACTGCTCTGAGTCAGTTATCATTGGAGTGAAGACGGGGAATATCACAAGTCATCCTATCAAGGAAACTGTTACCAAGGTGACGAACAGCACTGAAAACGTAACATTTCACATGACGGCATCCCACTTTGGAAACGTGACCCTTGTGTTTTCCTGTGGCACCAAGAACCAGCACGTGCTCTGTGAGGGCATACAGTCTCTGGTTGAAGGTAAGAATCAATACTGCACACCCACCCGATCCAGGAAATGTTACACATAGCGAGCACCTCTCTGTTGGCAACTGTGAACAGCTACTAGCACTTACAAAGATCGCTGTTACACCCAAGAGACAGTTATTGTTACAAGCCCTGTAAGACTCGCGAGGCGCTACTTCCGGTACTAAGCTGGTTCCTGTTTTGAGATATGCGAGACGGAACCCAACTTACTTCCGGTACCTGTGTCCGGTGACAAGCGTATATTCAAGAACCAGTTTCCATGTGTGGAGCAGCTTCAAGTATATTTCGAACCTTTGTAAGTGCAAGTATCGGTTCAAAGTTGCCAGAAGAAGGTAATTTTGCGGCATCACGTGATTGATAACTGCAGGATGAAAACCTTTTCACAACAGATACCGATGTTCTGATTTAAGAGTTTAACAGATAATAACTGTGTCAACTATTTTAGCATTTTGTAATTTCAGCATGAAGGTTTTTCTAGTACAAACGTAATGCTTTTTGAAAGCAGTATAGTAATTCTTGTCTTTGCAGTTTAATGAGTATAACAAAGAGCAACGTATTGCTCTAATCTGATAAAAGACAGCGCATTGTGTAATCGGGGCGGTGGGGTAGCGTATAGGTTGAAGCGTTTGCTTGTCACGCCGAGGACTCGGGTTCGATTCCCCACATGGGTACAATGTGTGAAGCCCATTTCTGGTGTCCCCGTCTTGATATTGCGGGACTATTACTAAGCGTATAATGTTAAACTCACTTTAGGGTATTTATATACCATTCACACTTTGCTAAGGATCAAATCATGGATTCAACAAACAACTATGATGTGGGGTCAAATTTGGTTTAAATATCTTGGCTTATTGTAGGCATGGATCCTAGGTTTCAGTATGTCATTTCATCTTGTGCATCAAATAACTGCTATGCATAGTTTCTTCTTCCACTAAACATTTCAAATAACACATGTGTTTCTAAGCCTCTATGTCACCGTAACATTAAGTGGGTCGTGGATCATTGTTTCCTATTACTGTCCTGCAGGTAAACAGGCTAACATCACGACAACACCCACACAGCCCACAGGTCACCCAACAACAGATGGACAGGATACAGATAGCTCTCAATGTGGTGTCGAAGGTTGCATAATTCCTATTGTTCTTGCTGTCTTCCTCTATGTCGTTGTCGTTGTCGTCGTAGTCTTCATAATCAAATTTGTATGCAAACGCAGGAAAAATAGGGAAGAACATAGAAACAAAGAAAACGAAGATGACACTGAAGCATCCGCGCTAAGACAGGAAGAGGACACACAGTAACAAGGATCAAGGAACAAGACAATCCAGTGAGTAACATCGTTCGAGAAGTTTCTGAATGGAACTGCTTCTAGGAGGATGGAAGTACCTATAGTGTAGCAACAAGAGCACGGATCTAGACCTGTCAAGCAAGTCAGCAAACCTGACCGCCCGATTCTGTTAGACACCTTTTACGACAAGAATATGCTGCTGAGACCAATTCTAACCCGGATCTTCAAGGATCCAAGGCTGGAAGACTACCACCAAATGTCAAGTACTGACCTGACATCATCCACATAACTCGAGTTTGCATTTACTTGAGTTTCATAAGTTAATGAAACAAAATATCTTCTATTCATTAATAAGGAAACACCGTACTATTTAATATCAAATTTATTTAACGCTTTCTTTCTGACACCATTACACTACTTGCCAAATTCTCCGGTATTCCCATGTATTATGTCCTTATGCACATTCCGTACTAAAGTTCGGGCTTATAATTTCCTGGTCGCAAGTTTTGATTGACCTTATGTCAGTGTATGTGACAAAGTGAGTGAGTTTAGTTTTACGCCGCAATATTCCAGCGTTCGGCGGCGTTCTATAAATAAACGAGTCTGGACTATACAATCCAGTGATCCACAGCACGAGCATCGATGTACGCAATTGAGATACGGTGACATGTGACAAAGTGTGAACCAACCAACTGAAATATTCATACAATTCGGACAATCAATATACAAGCTTTTGGTCTCATGACATGACTGTTTTTTGTTATGTTATTAATGTTCTGCAATATTCTAGTTTAGCCGGGGATGTGTTAGTGATCGATTAAATAGATCATAATAAAGTGATTGACAGCATGAGCATAGATCTACGCAGTCGGGATACTATGAAATATCAAACATGTCAACGAGAATGAATACACGATGTCTTGGGTAAGGTCGTATTACGAAATAAAGATATCTTTCTAGAGTGAATGAGTGAGTTAGGTTTTACGCCGCTTATAGCACCATTCCAGCAATATCACGGCGGGGAACACCAGAACTGGGCTCCAGATTTCGTATACTTGTGAGGAATCGAACCCGGGCCTTCGTCGTGACGAGCGCACGCTTCAACAACAAAGCTTACCCCCACCCCAAACCCCCACCCCGACCTTATATGCCTGAAATAGAGCAGTTGTTCATCCATATATGGTTATCCTGCCTTGAACAATTAACCGGTATTCCCTTATTTCCTTGTATTATGTCCGTATGAGCATTCCGTAATAAAGTTCGGGCTGTGAATTTCCTGGTCACGAGTCATGTTTGATCTGGCAACGTGGACACCATAGAAATACAATATTTCCGTGGTGATATAATTGATAAAAACATCTGCTTATGATCACATCCCCGTTAAAAAATCAATTCATACAATTCTGACAATAAATATATAATTCTCGTTCGGTCTCACGCCATGGCTGGTTGTTTCGTTCCTTATTTCACGCCCAATTTACCACAATTATATAATTTTAGTTTGGACGGGGTAATTAAGTCAGCTAACCAAGAGATCACAAACCAGTGGTTGGTAGCAGGAACATCGATCTAAGCGGGACTCAATGACATGCAGCTACCAAGTCAACGAGCCTGTATATAGATGTATAGAGTAGCTCGTTATAACATATAAAGGCCTCTTTCTTGAGTGAGTTTAGTGAGTGAGTTTGGTTTTACGACACTTTTAGCAATATTCCAGCATTATCACGGCGTGGGGCACCATAAATAGGCTTCAGACAGTATACCCTTGCGGGGAATCGAACACGGGCCTTCGACTTGACGAGCGAACGCTTTATCCACTGGACTACCCCACCGCCCCTCTTTTATTAGAACTTAGGAGCATCTTAATGAGAATGTGAAGCAAACTTTGAAACGAACAGTGCAGGAAATGCACATTGCCGTGTGAATATGACACATGATGACCAGTCACTGACCGGTAACGTGGAGAACACGTTATTGGATGCTTCGACTGAAACTATGGAATTTCATGTAAGAGTATTTATCCTCTTATGATGTAATAATATTTACGTTAATGAACGATTCAGGACCAGGCAAACCAGTGGTTGACATATGGAGCCATGGTCAATGTGTTTGGATGCTATATATCAACCGACCGCCTCCGTGGTGTAGTGGTTAGAGCGTCCGCCCGGAGAGCGGAAGGTCGCGGGTTCGATCCCCGGTCGCGTCATACCAAAAGACGTTAAAATATGGTACTTTTTTGGTCCCTACCTGGCGCTCGGCATTAATGGGTACAACAAGGACTGGTCGGCTCCGAGTCAGTATAATGTGTCTGAGTGGGGTATTCATGCTTCACTGCGGCATGGTATCTCAGTGGGCTAGCACTATAAAACACTATAAGTCTGGGCTAGTATAAGCAGCCGCACATACACATACACACGCATGCACGTCGTCATATGAGCAAAATATTCTCAAAGTCCGACGTAAAACCCAATTTCACCTCACCTCACCTCACCTCACCTCACCTCACCTATATATCAACCACGCAATCCCGTCTCATCTGATGATAAGTATGGACAGCTGTTGATTCATTCAGACTGGGACATTCAAGGAGGCCATTATTTGTGGGCACTACGAAGTAATGAATTCATGTCACTGATACCATTGTTTAACATGGATCCTCCTTTGTATAATGCCGAACAGTGAGTGAGTGAGTTGGGTTTTACGCCGCTTTTAGCAATATTCCAGTAATATAAGGACGGTGGACACCTGAAATGGGCTTCACACACTGTGCGCATGTGCGGAATCGAACCTGGGCTACCCCACCGTGTGAGGGAGGGAGGGAGGGAGGGAGTGGATGGATGGGTGTGGAGTGGGACACCAGAGATGGGCTTTACGCATTGTGCCAATGTGGGTCAGTGCCTGTGAAGTTAATCTACCTTTCGCTTCAAGTTATTGTTTCAAAATCATACGCTATACGCTGTTGAAAATGTGTTAAATCAAGTCGGTGCCAGTTGATGAATATAGGCAATATATGATGTCAACGTGACACTGTCTGGCTTGACACTACTGTGATGTCAACATGACACTGTCTGGCTTGACACTACTGTGATGTCAACGTGACACTGTCTGGCTTGACACTACTGTGATGTCAACGTGACACTGTCTGCCTTGACACTACTGTGATGTCAACGTGACACTGTCTGGCTTGACACTACTGTGATGTCAACGTGACACTGTCTGGCTTGACACTACTGTGGTCTGTAAAGGATTATAATACAATTTCATCAAAGCCACATCTTGTATATCACACGACCGATATTTCCAGATGATAAATACTAAATACGTACAACCAAAGTAAAAACGGTGAGTAATCACGTGTTTATTTAGGATACAAGCATACTGTGTTGGAAAATCCAGTGATTGATATAATGAGCATCGATCTACAGCAGCTGACGGTCTTACAGAGTGTCCATCCGAATACCAGAAACAAAACTTTTTGACACCTCTTGTAGCAAAATGTATCTGTAAGACTTTAAACATCCTCTTTCATTACAAATGTGCTAAACACCAATTCTAACCTGGATCTTCACGGGTGGAGACAAGCATAGGTGGCTGAAGACCAGTTCTAACCCGGATCTTCACGGGTATAGCAAGGGTTGCTGAAGACCAGTTCTAACCTGGATCTTCACTGGTGGAGAAAAACATGGGTTGCTGAAGACCAGTTCTAACCCGGATCTTCACTGGTGGCGAAAAACATGGGTTGCTGAAGACCAGTTGTAACCCGGATCTTCACGGGTGGAGAAAAACATGGGTTGCTGAAGACCAGTTCTAACCCGGATCTTCACTGGTGGAGAAAAACATGGGTTGCTGAAGACCAGTTCTAACCCGGATCTTCACTGGTGGAGAAAAACATAGGTTGCTAAACACCAATTCTGACCTGGATCTTCACTGGTGGCGAAAAACATGGGTTGCTGAAGACCGGTTCTAACCCGGATCTTCACGGGTGGAGAAAAACATGGGTTGCTGAAGACCAGTTCTAACCCGGATCTTCACTGGTGGAGAAAAACGTGGGTTGCTGAAGACCAGTTCTAACCCGGATCTTCACTGGTGGAGAAAAACATAGGTTGCTAAACACCAATTCTGACCTGGATCTTCACTGGTGGCGAAAAACATGGGTTGCTGAAGACCAGTTCTAACCCGGATCTTCACTGGTGGAGAAAAACATGGGTTGCTGAAGACCAGTTCTAACCCGGATCTTCACTGGTGGAGAAAAACATGGGTTGCTGAAGACCAGTTCTAACCCGGATCTTCACTGGTGGAGAAAAACATAGCTTGCTGAAGACCAGTTCCAACCTGGATCTTCACGGGTGGAGAAAAACATAGGTTGCTGAAGACCAGTTCTAACCCGGATCTTCACGGGTATAGACAAGCAAGGGATGGTGAAGACCAATTCTAACCCGGATCTGTACGGCTGGAGACAATCATGGGTTGCTGAAGACCAGTTCTAACCTGGATCGTCACGGGTAGAGACAAACATGGGTTGCTGAAGACCAGTTCTAACCGGGATCGTCACGGATAGAGACAAGCAAGGGTTGCTGAAGACCAATTCTAACCCGGATCTTCACGGGTAGAGACAAGCATGGGTTGCTCAAGACCAGTTCTAACCCAGATCTTCACGGGTGGAGTTAAGCATGGGTTGCTGAAGACCAATTCTAACCCAGATCTTCACGGGTAGAGACAAGCATGGGTTGCTGAAGACAAGTTCTAACCCAGATCTTCACGGGTAGAGACAAGCATGGGTTGCTGAAGACCAATTCTAACCCAGATCTTTACGGGTGGAGACAAGCATGGGTTGCTGAAGACCAATTCTAACCCGGACCTTCACGGGTAGAGACAAGCATGGGTTGCTGAAGACCAATTCTAACCCAGATCTTCACGGGTGGAGTTAAGCATGGGTTGCTGAAGACCAATTCTAACCCAGATCTTCACGGGTAGAGACAAGCATGGGTTGCTGAAGACAAGTTCTAACCCAGATCTTCACAGATGGAGATAAGCATGGGTTGCTGAAGACCAATTCTAACCCAGATCCTCACGGGTGGAGACAAGCATGGGTTGCTGAAGACCAGTTCTAACCCAGATCGTCACGGGTAGAGA